CCTTTATAGCGTTTTCGGCCCGGCCAGGTTTGCATCAATCTGGGTTGGATTAATGGCCTTTTGTGCTCTCCTATTGGTAGAGCGGGTGACGTCAACCAATAGGAAAGATTAATCCAACCCAGGTTGGTGCAAACCCGATCGGGCCGAAAACGCTATTACTCTTACTTTTTACTCCGTGCATTGTAGACGGGCCTTAATAGAGACCGTATGATCATACGTAAGCAATTGCGAATCCAACATGTTGATTTTGTTACTACTTAAGTCTTAAGCGGGGAGCACAGACTTTTGCATAACGCATAACACGTAATGCATAAGAATATGTACCAATCAAAGTTCTCCGTTTCTTTCCCTTCCATGTAATAGAGAACTCTGGTTGATTCAATTTCTTATGCCTCATGTGTTATGCGTTATACAAGAGTCTGTGCTCTCCGCTATACGTCTTAATTTTTCTATGTGCCAAGGCCTTTACCCCGGATCTACAATAGGTGTTTTAAGCCTTAAGCTGTAAGAAATTGATCAATTACAGTCGAATTCGAGAAGAATAAGCAACTGTGATTTGCCCATTTCTTAAGGCTTAAAGCCCAATGTTCACGATACGAGAAATCCGGTCCGAGTTCTCGAACAGAGAAAAAATTAACAAATCACATTTGAACAATTTGATGGGTGGCACCCAGTTGGACACGGCTCAATTGGATACGAGCCACTCACAGCACTTGAGACTATAAAGCTCCTAAGCATCGGTCGCTGTGATTAGTGGTGTCCAATCGAGTCGTGATCAATCGGGATCACCCCCAATTTGACCATTGTGATTGGTCAATTCTTTCTTCATCCGAGGTCTCGGACCGATTTCTAGCATCGTGGACACAAGGTTTTAGGGCCTGCGCACAATAGAGGAACAAGAATTAGATATTAAGATTTCAACCTATCAGAAACCGTGTATTCCGATGTAATCAGTTTCTGATAGGTTAAAATCTTAATATCTAATTCCTATTCCTCTATTGTGCTCAGGCCCTTAGGCTTAAAACCCTATTATAGATCCTGACTTACTATGGGCTGCGTTCAGGAATTACACCATGTAATTCTGAGCTATAGATTACGTTACGTATATTATAGCAAAAATGCACCCTAGAGTTATCTAGGCATAATTCCTGAACGCAGCCCTGAACACAACCATTTACAATCGATCCACCGATGCGAAGCGATAGGGGGGTTGTCGGAAATGCAGGTTTCGCGACGGAAGTGCGCGTCGCCGAATGTACTCTGTCGCGGCGTCGCTCTGGCGACCACTAGTGGTCGACCAGTCTCATTAAGTTTGATTCAACCGGCGACTGTTGGCTACCGTTGACTGGTGGATTCTTTTTGATGCTGGGTGATTTTCGCTGATTTGTAAGGTACCATTATTCTTAACGATCTGTTGTATGATTTTCATGTCTCGTTCGTATCAAGTACTGATACGACTCACGTGCGCAATAAGAATTGCATAATGACGCACGCACATCGAAACCTCGCGCGCGGCGAAACATTTCGACGAATTTTCACGCACAATATCGCTATGACGCTATAACTTCATCATCGTGTTGTTATCGGAGGGTGAGATTATAGCTCGAGCGGGAATACGAAAGCCGTTATGAGACAAACATTAAAATATTGTAGTAAGACGTCTCTTTTTGCAGGTTAACGCATAATCTATAACCATGATGACTGTACCACCGGATACCTATCAGATATCGCTGAACATCATAGAGGCGATCAAACAACACCCGGTGCTCTATTGTACCGAGGTGAAGGGTGTGCCAGTGAAGCTGCAGGACTTCAAACAAAAAGTCTGGAAACACATCTCGGACGAGCTTGGATTGGATCGTACGTCTTTATATGTTATTTTACAAGAAAGTTATTTTCACTGAGATAGAACTATTCCTCTGTATCTAAAAATACGCGTAGCTTAGCGCCGAGACACTACCAGTGTCTCCAGATATAATAAGCCTTCTACAATAAGCTGCAAGTCAGAAGTTCTAAGCGATCTTAAGTCATAATTGGTGAAGTTGGCCAATAGCAAACTTGAACGACCTGGTTAAGACTGGTTAAGACTTCTGACATTCTGATTTGCGGCTTATTGTAGAAGGCCCATAATAGAACAAAGTAAACTTTCAATAATTGTAAAACCTGATCTACGTAAAATGCAGAATGCAGGTTACAGGTCACAACTAAAAACTAACCTAACGTATTTTGATTATAATAAATTGTAGGCTGCAGAATGCAGGAAGCTGGATAAACTTGAGCTTTTGCATTCTGTGTCCCACGTATTGCGGTCTGTAATTTATTACAATCTGAAATACGTTTCACTTGCGACCCTCGTTCTGCATCTTATGTAAATTGGGCTTAAAATAAATATTCTATTCAATGCAGCCAATAACTATGTGTGACAAAAAAAGC